TTCACGTACACTCAGCATGTGCGTGCCTGTGTAAACAGGATATTGCAGATTGTCTTCTCTGCAGCTCATTGCTTAGTTGCAGAAAATACTGCAAACAAGGAACAGAAATGGCGATGCATGGACCAACGATGAGGTGGAGATGTTACTGAAAGTAGCACATGAGTATAAGGCAGTCATGGCGGCGGAAAACATAGATTGTGAGTCGTGGATCTCTTTTTCCAGAAAAGGGACGCATAATAGGAGCATGATGAATCAGGGAAGGATACACGACGGAGAAGACTGAATCAGGGAGTGATGTGGGTGTCTATGTCATCGTTTCTAAAAGTCTCTTTCTCTGCAAATCTAGACTAAAATGCAGTCCTTGCATTTTCAAACTAAAATGGGGCCAGCAGCGTTTTCAAAAGTCTCTGTGTTAGGGCCTCAAAAACTCCAGAGTAGTGTGACATAAATGTAGCAAAAGTGATGAGTTTTTAAAACTAAAATGTATTAGTGTGAATGTAGTCTGAAAAAGTCTTTTTCTCACAAACACTGCTCTAAATTTGATCAGTGCAACATCCCTTGAGGAAAACAGTTTTCAGTTCTCTTTTTCTCAAACGCCCAAGAACATCTGATTGTTGCTTTTCAACTCTTTGTAAGAACAAAAAATACTGTAGGTTAATAGTTGTTATTACCTGTTTTGTTTACCCTACCAGATGAACCTCCTGCTGAAGGAGTACATCCTATCTGGAGACAGTAAAGAGGCTGAAAGATGCCTGAGAGATCTGGAGGTCCCCCATTTCCACCATGAGTTTGTGTATGAGGTAAATACTGTGCTGCACTTGATATCAACAACACAAGCTGGCGTGCAGGAGGCCAAAGTAAAATTGTGAAATATTGCAAAATGGTTTCAAGCCAATCCGTCATCTGAAATATCTTGTTTTAGTTTATCTTTTTTAGCTTAGTTTTTTTTTTTTCATTTTCATTCATCTTTCATTGAGGAGTGTGAACATCTTGTGCCATGTGGTCTAAACTAAAATCTGTAGATAAATCAATATGTGTTTTGCACTGCAGTATGTGCTTCTAGTAGCTACTAGCAAAGGTTTTGAGCACTAATACGGTCATAAGAATATTGTGCAATTTCCTGCAGGCGATAGTGATGGTGTTGGAGTCTAAAGGAGAGAAAACATTCAAAATGGTCATGCGGCTACTCAAGTTGCTCTCTGTGTCCTCCATCATCACTGTGGACCAAATGAGAAGGGTAAGGTGCCACCTGGTGTCTGACGTATGTACTGCACAAAACAATTTCACCTAGAAGCAGCTCATTTGTTTGCTCTCCCTTTGAGATAGTGTTTTATAAACAGTGTTTTCTTTTCTTTTAAAGGGCTATGAAAGAGTTTATATGGACATTGCTGAAATCAACATCGATGTCCCTCGTGCATACTTCATCCTGGAGCAATTTGTTGATAAGAGCCTCAGTATGGGAATAATTGATGTAAAGTTAAGAGATCTTTGTCCCTGTCGGTAAGTGCAATAGTTTTCTCAGATACAAACCTTACATTTATCTCTGTAGGGAGATGTATTTTTTTTACTTTAATAATTTTTTTTTTTAATGCGATCTGTCTCTCGCCAGGGGCCGAAAGAGATTTGTCAGCGAGGGAGATGGTGGTGTTGTCAAAGTCGAAAGCTACTGAGGAATCCTTTTTATGTACCAGGAAAGAAGAGGATGAGGATAAAGCTACTTTTTTACATGCATATTTTTCAAAATACTTGGGTACAATTTTTTCCCTTCTAACAGTCAAGAGAATGTACATTTCTGAAATTGAGGTGGGCTAAAAAAAAAAAAAAAAACTGCACTTTCAATTGAGACTGAAGATCACTTTCTCTAAGGTGTTTCAATATAAACATTTACATAAGCTAACCCTTAAAGTGCCACACCTCTCAGTGTCAGTCATTCCATGTTGTTTTGTACAGTATTTTCTTGATTTCACTGCCACTCCTTTTGTGTTTTCTAGAAAGCAGTGTTTGTACAGAGATGACTGGTTTGTGTCAAGAGCTTTATAAAGGGGTATAAAAATAAATAAATAAAAGGGAGCATGTTGGTTCAATGCAATACTGGCTCCCTAACTAGCTGCTGTTTCTATGCTGTGCTTGTCTTATTTTTTTCTTTTTACCCTTTAAATCACACAAAGATGTCATTACTGAAGGTATCGATACACGAGTACAGTGCAAAAACAAATACCAGTCGTGTAACTTCATAAAGTGGTGTTTAGAGTGTTTATTTTTATATCTGAGCAATACTGGTGTGTGAAATGTACCATGTATTGCTCCTTGTTTGTTCATTAAACCACTATTAAATAATGCAAGACTGTTTTGTGAATGTCACAATATTAACACATGCTATTAACCAGGGTTGCAACTAAGCTCTTGGCTCTGAAAGGGCAATTGCACTACCCTGCGTTGACACAAAAAGGAGGCGGTTAACTAACATTTTGTTATATGAATTGAAGCCATATTGCAGGGGTTATAAATGAAATGTCTGTAGAAGCACACAGGTCTCAGTAGTCAACCATGCTCGAAAAGCTGGCAAGCAATAAACTTAATCCCTATTGATTACATGCAGTAAATCATTCAACAATGCTTATACAGGAAGAAGAGCTGAATAGTGGTTAAGCTTAGATGACTACTTTTACCACTTTCTTAACTCGTCTGCTCTATGAAGCCAAACATCAATTACTTCATGTTGCATGTCACTGTCCATAAAAATACTTGATCGATTAGTGCTTGAAAACACTATATTTGTGCCATCCATCTAAAGGAATTTTGTGCCACTCTGGCTGCTTCTGCTGTTGCAAAACCTCCATTGGGCGTCTACTGTGACTGCTCTTTCATTGCCAGTTCCTGCTGTTTGACGGCCTCTTGAGCCTCCATCTGCATCTTCTCCAGTTTCTCTAGGGTGACTGATTTGAGTGGGAGAAGCTTTGGCTTACACAGAACCATGGTAGGGACATCTTCCATGGAAAGCTGCCCTGTGGAAATAAAAATCAATTCAGCATGAATTCTCACATTTCTATAACTAATCTTGATTTAAATACAAAGAGAAAAGAAGAGTTGGAATTAGTTGGCTATCTTTCACAAAAACCTCCAGCACATTAACAGTGAGAAATGTTCTATCTACAGTTGAACTTTTAATAAATACTAGATCTGCAAGAGCATCACTGCCAAAACTGCAACCCCGAGGAAGTGGGGCCCAAGGTCACATCTGTAGGCTTGTTAAATCTGTGGGCTCTTGGTTGTGGTCAATTGCTTGCCAATATTTTTAATTTCTGTTGCACTGGTGGTTAGTTTTTACCAAATAGACTCACTGCATGAAACATCTGGACGTTTTACACAGCTGGTGCATTGCCCCTGAACGACCTGTACACATTAAAAAGCATTACACTTTTGACACTAAAAATCCATTGATATCCAGCTATGGTACTTGTCCTAATTATGTAAGTGTTTATATTGCAACAATGTCAATGATGCTGCTCTGTAAGAGACTAAAGAAGGAGCACACAGCACAGAGCACCCACTGACTAATTTTGCAGGCTTTTGCAGATTTCTGAACAGTTCACATGTTGTATTGGGCTCCACAAACAGCCTTTTGTTTGAAACTACTGCTGTCCAAAGACCTAATTGCTGCAGTACAAACCTTGTTTAGGCAAAACTTCTCTGAATATTGACTTGACTTCTGGCATTGTGTCTTCCCGAATGCCCGCTGAAAGGTAAACACATTAGTTTATTACTTTTTAACAGAATTTCAGCAAAAATTGATGAAAACAAAGTATTATGGACAATGTACTTGAGGAATTGCATAGGGCAAAAACCCTGACACCGTTGGATCGTGAAGAAAGCTGCTGTTAATAACAAATATAGCTGGGTATCTTCTCAGCTGATAATGAATGGTGATCTGACTCATGAACTACTCACGAGAGTAAGCAATTTGATAGAGACTGTATTTAAGCCGGATCTGTGGCACAAGCTTAGTATGAACTTTAGCATATTTACATGCAGCCAATAGAGGTTCAGTAACAGAGACGATATGATCACCCTGAAGGAAAAACATTTATAATCAGTTCCTTTTGTGTTGCATTTGTTACATATGGCTGTTGCAATGTTGAATGTTCACGTTTTTATTATATTCGGTATCAATTTACACACGATTGTTTTAATGTAACGTTAACGTTTAACCTAACGTAACCATGATCCTTGTTGGAATAACTTAAAAGATTGGGAGTAAAAATAGTTTTTACAATAGCTAGATTCAGCTAACGCTAGCCATGTTTAGCACGTAAAAGACACAACCTCGGCTAGCTACAGGCCCAGATCTTCTTTCTTTCAGCGAACTAACGACCAACTATAGCTACTACTTAAGTCAATGCACTGCGATATATCGTTCCTGTCGTGTGTGACCACGTCGAATCAAAAGCAGATCTTATAAAATCCATTCTTTAATAACCTACCTTTAGCACCAGGCAAAGATTACAGCGGTTGTCAAGCCAACGCGTCCGCGAGAATCACGTGACCTTCTTCTTCTTCGCTTTACCTCTCAAGCGACGCTTTACTGACATCTGCAGAACAACTCAAAATTATGACTAATTTTTGTTTTTTCTGCTGCCAATTTTTTTCAAAGTAAGAGTTTTTGCAGAATTGTTGCAGTAGTATTGTTGACGTGAATGTAGTTAGATATATACAACAAATTCAGCAGACACTCAGTTAAGGTTATCACAACGACAGTGTCATCATTTAAAACTTTGCTTTCAAAGTGTGTCTTTGAAGTCTTTTTGCTGCCACTATGCACTTGAGAAGTTTTAATTTGAATTTAAGCATCTTTAGTGTTTTGATGTATTTGAAGACAATGTATATCCAGGAATATTTGATTGTTTCAAAGTCTCGTGATAACAGTGGTTAGGCGTGCGAATGACGCAGTTTGGTGTCAGGAGAGGGAGGGGAACAGAGCAGCAGTGTAGGAAAAGAGGAGGAAGCAGCAAGGATGGCGGAGTCACACCTCTGAAGGTAAAACAGTTATATTATCACAATAACAGTGGACGTTTCATTCCTCGCGCAGCACGGTAACGCATCACTCCAAAGTTAACACACTCCTCTGTCTCTTGTTACGGCGTGAATAAGGCCAAAGTGTCATTTTGCGATGGCGAGTACGAACGCACTCTTTTGTTCAGCTTCGGAATGGCCGCTGTTTTTCAGAGTGTTTTCTTTTTTTCCTCGGCTAATATTCAGCACGGGCACCGCGCTTAGATACTATGATGCAGTTAGTTGGCACCTTGTATGCCTTCAGTGGCCGCTGTGAGATACAAGGCACCTCCACCGGCTGTGCTCCTCGGGTGTCTGCTGCCCGATTGCGCTCAGCTGGCTGCAGCAGACGTTTCCTCTCTCGGTTGGACTCACGGCGGACGGGTCGGTCCGCGTCCGACAGCCGCTCTGCTCGGGCCTACACACAGTTAGCCGTGCTTCAGATAAGGCTAACCGATGGGTGTGAGTAAATGTGTCAGGGGAAACCTCCACACCCTTTGCACCTTCTGATACGTACTATAATAGCCGTTTGTTTTAATACTTCATCCCGACCGTGACGGTACTCTTGTGGTTTGATTGCTCGCTGAAATACAGCTAGCTGGTGGGTTAACTTGTCCGCTAGCTGACGTTAGCAAGTTAGCAGTCTGGCATAACTGACGTTTGCTTTGCTGTTGACGTTTAGCTTAGCTGCTTTTATTTCCTGCCTTGTTGTCAGTCGTTTTCGCAGGCTTAGCCCTTGTATTTTTCTCGTTTTGAGTATTGGTCGCTGGCGATATGCAGTGTTGATATTTTATCCCAGTCAGTTTGAAGGCTGGCTTGGCTAACATAAGACATTTTCAGCCTACGTGAGTTGGCTAACGACCATTAGTTAGCTAGTTGATGATTGGTTAACAGTCAAACCGTAACGTGTAACATCAAGACTGTCCGCTTCAAGGTAGGCTATGTCACACCAGTGACCATGCACTATCGCCAGCCCTGGTATGTTTAACTCAGGTGTTCATATTATGTAAATTGATTAATCTCGGAAGGCGACTTGACTTTCCGACCTGGTACCGTTTTGTCGGTAATCTGTTTCCAAGGATTTGTCATTGGCGTAGCCATCAAGCTAGCTGCGTCCCGTGGAGTGCTGTGTAGCAGCAGTAGCTGATAGCTGCCACCTCACCTCTGTTTTGCTATTTAACCTCTCATATTAACGCTACACAGATACCCATTTAAACTGACAAGCCCAGATGATTTCTGGTTTGTTGATTCTTTTGCTTGAGCAGTAGCGTACTGTCAAGCAGTAACACAGGAGCTGGGTTTTAGATATATTTCCTGACTCTAAATCTGTAGGGCATTTTGTCATATCTCAGCACTTCGTTACATTTGTTATACACACGTGCTTGATTGTATTCTCTGATTAGCTAATGTTGATGCATTTCTAATTTGACACAAAATGCACTGTAATGGATAAACAAAAGCTGGAGAACATTAGACACTTCTGCTTAGGCCTAAATGCACTGGCATTATCAGATGGGTTCAAGATATCCTTAATGGAAATTTCATTAGTCTCTATATGGGTTGCATGTGCCATGAAGTCCAAGTGTTAAGTAGCACTTAATGGTGGTGGGGTTAGTATTGATGGACATGCAGTAGATTTTTGTCAAGGTTGTATACCAGTTGATCTTTATATTTACATCTACTAAATGGCTAGTCCTAACTCAGTGGAACTCACAACATGTGTGCAAGTTTTGTTACCTGTAAATTTAACATTATCCCATAGCTTTGGCAAATGTACAACTGACATGTTTAAAATGATTTCCCCCACACCTGTGTGGTAGACCGTTGTGAAGGCCAGTGTAAGGACTTTAAACAGACACTGAGTGCCCATCAATAGTGCAGTTTTCTGATCAAAAAGACATTTAATTGCATGGCCACAAAGTGATTACACCGTTTTGTGCTCAACTAATGGATTATTTACATCTCTGTATATCCCTTTTTCTTTTGCTCAGACTGTTAAGGCAAACCAGTCATTGCATTTATGAACAACAAGTGCACACTTTCTTAAGCCTGCCAGGGATGGAAAAGTTACTGAATCTCACAAACCCCTGGTTCTGTGGTTTACTAACATAGTTATTACCCACACTTTTTTCTTCTTCCTTTTGTTCATGTGAAGTCAGGGCTTCCTCGGTCACCTAAATATTGAACCTCTGTGCTGCTTTTGCAGAAACCACTGCATTCATTTGAAAGATGCAGCTAACCTCTTAGTTATGGTTAATATTTTGTTTGCACAATCTGGACAAAGAAAGATAACAAGTTTTGCATGAGCTACTAAGCTTGTTATCTTTGATTAAAAATGAAATTATGGATATGATAATTAAAAATTACATTATAAATTGTAATAAAATAACTAGGGAATGAAATACTCCAGTTAGATATTAAACTCCTCATCTGGTCTCATTTGGTCTTTCATTAGGTTTGACAAGCAAACATTAATCTTTAAATATAGAAATGAATCAATACAGATAAGGTTTACATTCAATTTGTTATAAACAGAATGATATACCAGGGCAGAGACATAGACATTACAACCATAAAAGGAAGTTGCTTGCACAGTTTGGTTTAGATGGCCCCAGCAATTGGGTTGGTCTGGCTATTCTCATTTTATGTTAATAATTATTTTGTGAACATGTATACATATTACATCCAGTGTTAGACGTTCATCTCCTTATTTATGACAGGACAGAGCCTTTTTTATTTACAGAACTCATTCTATCATGTAAGGGGTGCTACTATTGACCCAGCATTTCTTTTACCTAAAAGGTCATATGACCTGTTGTTGTGGGGACTTCATGCTTTGAAGGCCACTTCTAAAGATTAGTCTCAGCAGTCCTAACCTTTTCACTTAGCTCTGATCCTGAGCCAAACCTGCCTCTCTTTTTGCAACAGCTTAGCTTGTACTAGTGCTGGAGAGCTTTAGACAGTCACTAAGGTACAACAGCAACCGAGACTAAACAGAGGAAGGCCGCCAGAGACTTTCAGGCTCAGTCTGTCATATAAAGCTCCAAGAGGTTGTGTGTTTCATCTGGCTGCCTTTTGAGACGTAAATATTCAATGTGATTGTTGCATCACAGACTTTAAGGGAAGGCTAAATAGCTAAATGCATGTTTAGGTGGGGCTGTAGGCTTAAAGTAATGTCAACACCCGCTCGGCCATGTTTGTTTAGTAGGAGTAAGTTAGTGTGAGGTTATGCTTAGTACATTCAACAGATTTGCGTGGACTGGCACATTCAGTACCACTTATCTCATGGTACTGACAACCCACCAAACCTGTGGAAGTATTTTTTTTTTTTTTTTTTCTGACGCAATGTATGAGGTAGAATATTGTTAAGGCTCCTTTTAATTCTATTTCTTTATTCTTTTTACACATTTAGCCCACAGTAGACCCAGCTTAAAATAAAATTTTATTTAAATGCATTGGTAGTGTTTTTTTATAGTACCTGTGGTATTATAACATCTATTGCAAGAGCAGTGTCAGTTAGGATTTGGTGTGGTGGGCTCTTTTTCAGGCTCATTTTGTTCCCAGCATTAAAAAGTTTTTCAACTAACGGCAGTTCTTTAGAGGTGGGGTTTTTCTGCAAAATGTCACTGACACAGAGGCGAAACAAGGATATTGCCAACTGTGTGTTCCTGCATACATCTCTTTCCCCTGCATGTCGGCAGTCCAATGTATTTGAAATCACTGACTTCTGCATCAATTTCAAAGGATTGAAATTGAATTGGGCTTTAAAATCAGAAACCTATGGGTGGACCACTCACCTGTTGAAATTCAAAATGCTGAAAATGTTTAAGTGTGAAAATGAAATTGTAAATGTGAATGAATTTTTTTTCTCTCCCCAAAAAGCAAATCTTCGAGGGATTAAAAAGAACCTTGATGACCTTTGCAGCCTGAGAGAACTTCTATCTGAAGGTCCTGGGATTGTATGCCGTTCAGACACTTAAGCATGTGGCCCATGGATGCCACAATCCAGCTACTTCAAAGGATTTTTTCTCCCATGGCATTTTAACAAAGGGACAAAGTATCAAAAGTATCTAAAAAACCTCTGGATCACAAGGCCTTTATTTCAAGGATAATAATAAATGTGTGGGCCTGCACAGGGATGTTTTCTTTAAAAGCCTCCTTGGTTGTCTGTGTCCCTTTTTTCCCAAATAAGTAACCTGACAAGAGAGACTCCCATGAGCAACTCTGCAGGAGGCCCGATAACGTCGACATGAGTAGTACTTTAGGCAAAGAAAAAGATTCAAAAGAAAAGGACCCAAAAGGTGGTCCAGCGGGGAAAGAAAGGGAAAAGGAGGCCAAGGCTCTGACTGGCTTGGTCAAGGATGGTGGTAAAGAAACGAAGACCAAAGGGAAAGATGCCAAAGAAGGAAAGAAGGACACCAGCAGCTCAACACCAGGTGTTGCCTTCTCCGTTGACAATACGATAAAGCGGCCAAACCCAGCACCAGGTACACGCAAGAAGTCCAGTAATGCTGAGGTGATCAAAGAACTTAACAAGTGTCGAGAGGAGAACTCAATGAGACTGGACCTATCTAAAAGGTCCATTCATATGCTTCCCACCTCCATTAAGGAGTTGACACAGCTGGCTGAACTCTACTTATACAGCAACAAGCTGCAGAGCCTGCCGGCTGAGGTGGGTTGCCTATCAGGCCTGGTCACTTTGGCCCTGAGCGAGAACTCCCTGACCAGTTTGCCTGACTCCCTGGACTCCCTTAAGAAGCTTCGAATGCTCGACCTCCGGCACAACAAGCTGAGAGAGATACCACCTGTCGTCTACCGGCTGACATCTCTAACCACGCTGTACCTGCGGTTCAACCGTATCACAACAGTAGAGAAGGACATCCGAAACCTATCCAAGCTCACTATGCTCAGCATCCGTGAGAACAAGATTAAACAGCTGCCCGCAGAGATAGGTGAGTATAATGGATGTGTAAAGACAGTACAAATTCCCCAAATTGATGTAGGGCAAGAAGCAAATCGTTCAGTGGCCACAAGTTATTTTGGTAGATAGTGGGCTACCATTGGGTTTACAACATTTCACTACTGTTAATTTTCATCCAGAGATTAGGTCATCTTGTGCTCATAATGTTATTCTAATGTCAATCATTCTCACGCTATGCTGGACCATGAATCCAGCTGGCCATAGTAAGAGAGAGTACTGACTATGAAATTTATGATTCTGTGAGTGGGGAATATGAAAAATTTGTTGGTGGCTGTATTACTGACTGTGGGTTACTAAAGGCACTTTCATCTTCACTTTCATCAACTAAATTTCTGAATTTTGCATGCATCTTTCTGTAGGGGAGCTATGCAACCTTATTACTCTGGATGTTGCCCATAACCAGTTGGAACACCTACCGAAGGAGATTGGGAATTGCACACAGATAACCAACCTTGACTTGCAGCACAATGAGCTCTTGGACCTCCCAGAGACTATAGGTAACTTCAGCATATTTTAGGACTCAAAAGCAAAGGTATTGTGTATCTGTCAATGCATAATGTATGTTTTTTGTCTTATTCTACCAGCCTGATTCCAGCTAATTCTTATGAAATTTACAAAGGTAAAAATATAACAGTAAAATTTTTGGTTTTGTTTCAGGGAATCTGGCGAGCATAAATCGCTTAGGTCTGAGATATAATAGATTATCAGCTATTCCGAGATCATTAGCCAGGTGTCGAGAACTGGAGGAGTTAAACCTTGAAAATAACAACATTTCAGTGTTGCCAGAGGTAAGTAGAATTTGGCATGTAATCTCAAATATAAATGCAGACTAATACTGAATAATGGAAATAATTAGTTTCAGAATTGTTTTCTATTTAGTTTTACATCAGTTGTTTCCTGCAGTGCTTTGAAAATGGAAACATCAAACATGAAATTAATTTTGAAACCTCAACTCTTCTGTACCTGTGCTCTAAAATTGATATATGCATACATACATACACACACACACGCACATATATTCATGTTAAATTCACTTAAGCATTGGTACTTTAGCCACAATTTTTTACACCAAAATCACAGTCTTTAATCACAGGTATTTTTGCACTGCAGACTGTGCAGAAACTCAGGTTTATCTTGAATACTTGTTTAACATGCATATAGCTTATCCACTTAAATTCCTTTTTATGTCTTAGGGCTACTAATACACACTGTGTACAAATCATAGCCTTTAGTGAGTCCTGTCCTGATCATATTGTCTGTCATTTCTCTTTTTCTGTACTTGATCAGGGCCTGCTTTCAAGTTTGGTCAATCTGACAAGTCTAACACTGGCAAGGAACTGTTTCCAGTCTTACCCTGTCGGTGGACCATCCCAGTTCTCAACCATCTACTCCCTCAACATGGAGCACAACCGTATCAACAAGATCCCCTTTGGTATCTTCTCCAGGGCCAAAGTGTTAAGCAAGCTTAACATGAAGGTATGAACATGTGTATGATCATCACAAGATATCTTGATGGTGATCTGAGGAGGTAACTGTCTTTAGCATGTTGGAACTGTTCAATATAACTGAGTCAGCACTGTAAAGGTGGATATAATTGTACACTTCAACAGAACAAGGTCCTATGATGCATCTTTTATTTAAAAAAAGTTAAGCTGTAGACACTTTTTTTTTTTTTTTTTTTAAACAGCTGTCCTTGAGGGTTAGGCAAAAATCTTTTTGGCATGGTGAGAAGTAGTAGTGGAAATAAAAAATAAATAAATTTAGCACACGGGTAGCTGCATCCACTGGTATATGTTAAATGTTAATTTTACCGCTTAAGTTCAACATCATAGAGTGAAGCTATAGTGAGAGAACAATTATTGATCTTATTTTTCCCAACCATTGTTCAAAGCTAAGACTGTTGAAAAGAGCACCTCCATTGAAGTTTGTATTGGCCTCTAACCAGGCATGTACTGACAGGCATTAAAAAGTCCTTAACTTGTTACATTGATGTATGTCTACACTGGATGTAGTTTGGATTTAAATCTCCATTGGAAACATTTTATCCTGGCGCCAGGCGTAGCTGACATTGTCCACTGGTCTGCTCAGTCTCATGAACAGCACTGTCCTTGTGTTGACCCTGTGAATTGTCAGTTATTTTGCTAATAATGGTATTCCATTATCTCCCTCAGGACAACCAGTTAACGTCTCTGCCGTTGGACTTTGGCACATGGACTAGTATGGTCGAGCTTAACCTGGCCACTAATCAGTTGACGAAGATCCCTGAGGACGTCTGTGGACTAGTCTCTCTGGAGGTGAGTATTCAATACACACAGTGTATAGTAGAATTGAAATTAAATAAGTAAATTGTACATTTTGTGTAATCAATATGTGAGAATAGAAGTGACGGGAGATGTTATGTCTACACGTTAAGGCCCTTATGTTGTGAGTGAATCTTTGAGGCTAATGGCTGATGTAATAAACATGGATAGCAGTAGAATTTTGCTTAACAACTCTGACTCAAAGTTGTAAGTTTTGAGTTATTTGGGTCATTATTACTGAACCAACCCTTTTTCCTCAAAACTATAGTGACCTAAATGTTGGTTGAAGATAGGGTGCTGCAAATATGGCTGAAAAGTAAAACATTTTCTAAAGATGTTTCAGTCAGTATTGTTTCCGATTTCTTCATTGATTTTTTTTTTTTTTTTTTGACATCCTTTGAAAACAATGTGATAATACCGCTAATACAGGAGTGATTGCTGTATTGCTTTGGAAAAAAAGATCAGATCAAAAAGATGCCAAAGTTTCACTTAAGAATTTTCATTGTCTTCACAGGTGTTAATATTGTCCAATAACCTTCTCAAAAAGTTACCACATGGTATTGGGAACTTGAGAAAGCTACGAGAGCTTGACTTGGAGGAAAACAAGTTGGAATCTCTACCTAATGAAATTGCTTATCTCAAAGATTTACAGGTAAGTTTTCCAGACATGCAGTTCTCTCCCGTGCTACTTGTGGCTCTTTGTTGTTGGATTTTTACAGAGTTTTGTTTGAGAGAATCTGGTTTGTTTGTGTTGCCATTGGGAACAACAACTATTAGAAAGACTGGGACACATTCCATAATATTTTTATCCACATTTACTTCTCACTACCCAGGTCTTTGTTGCATCTTGTTACTTTTCATGGTATTTGATAAGGCTCATTTTCAGTTTGTAGCTTAGGACTGAGATGCCTGTAAGTGGATTTGAAAAATTCCAGTGGTAGTATTATAAAAGGCACCGCAGAAAGCAGCGATGGATGTCTTTAACAATCCAGTAAATAAAGGTGTTTTTTGCTTTTGATATATTTTCGGTTATTTTGTTGCTCAAATTAACAGATCAGGAATTACAAACAAGAACTAATGAGAACCTGAATCAATGACCAAAATCAGAATTGGTATCAGTTTAATGTAAATGATACATAATCCCTGAAGCTGATGGAGTGGAAAGATACTCAAAGTTATGTTATGTCATTGCAACAACCTAAGGAATCAAGAGCCATGTCTTTCTGTGATATGCAAATTATTTCAGCTTTAAGGAACACGTTACTGGACATGCTGTCTACCCTTTAGATAATCATCCACAGTTAGCCTCTGCGAGGAGTGGACAATGCTACTGCATATAACTCGATGATAAATGACTTGACTGACAACCAGAGAGATCCTTTTCACTGTATGTTTGGTAACTGGGAATATTGGTCACATCCTGTCTTGCTGAGTTTTTTTTTTTTACTTTTATGCAATATTCAGACTTTCACCATGTCTACCATGTAAATGAATTTTTATCACTGAGTAACAAGTCCTTCCAAAAACATCCTGTCCTCTCACTCTCTGTATTAGAAATTGGTGTTGACAAATAATCAGCTGACTACGTTACCCAGAGGCATCGGCCATCTCACCAACCTGACTCATCTGGGATTGGGGGAGAACCTGCTGCAACACCTTCCTGAGGAGATTGGTAAATACTAATTTCATCAGCTACTGTACTGTATCAGTGACATGCTCAGGGCTTCACACACTATCAAAATAATGTCCGTGAGTGATGGTGGGGAACCAGAACTGATCCAGGGACATTTCCCTGTGAGTGACTTGATTCTGTGTCTAGAAATGGAAAGTCAGAAAACTTGACTGATTGTTTAAAAACACAACTTTGACTTTTGGCACATAATGTTGTTACTTTAAAACACCTTGTATCATTAAACTAGAGACTAAAACATTTTTTCACATAGTCCAAAACAAGTAAGTTGTTGCTTTTTTTATTTTAAGTGTTGTTTCCTGATAAAAGCTAAACTTAACCATCAGGATTTAAGAGCTTAACAGTTGACAGTATGTCCGTCCTCTGACCCTTCCTCCAAGTGATTGGACCAACCCCGGCTAGGCTGGTTACTGCTGAAGTTAAGCCAGAGATTAAAATAGTTGGAGGAAGGAGCTAAAGGTGGTTGTATTTTTAGAGTATTCAGACTGGGCACAGAATTGAATGATACCTGTTGCATTGTCGCTAGTAATTTGCTAATTTTTTAAGATTTGTGTCCTTACTGACTATCTTGAGATGTACCCGAGACTAGATGAAGGTCACGGTGGTCTCTTCGGCATCACTTCCCCTCGGCTGGTGCCATAGTTGAACTTCTTTCAGATCTCATCCACACATCTTTATCATGTCTTTCCAGGGGTGGAATAAATAATTGATACAGCAATATAGAGAATTAGAGCTAACATGATTAGACAGAAAATTAATCACAAACTATTCTAATTAACAATTGTCGTCTTTTTTAAAGCAAAAATACCAAACAGTGAGGAGTTGCTGCTTTCTATTGTTATATGAAATAGTAAATATTATACTTAGTACATAGTACATCATGTTGGATCCTCAGAATTTTGATGTCCATCCCCCACCCCACATCTTTTTTCCCCTCATATCATAGACTTAATGATAAATTATGAAAAAGGGCAGAATAATCAATAGTGAAAATAATCATTATTTGCAGATCTGAGAAACTACATATGTGTAATTCTGTTGTGATGTATTAAGATACAGTGAGATCCAAAAGTCGGAGATTACTTTCCTTTTCAAGTGAATGGGAATTACTATTCCCAACTAACAATAACTTCCTCAAAGTTCATGTTTAAAATGATCAAATTTCAGGAAAATGTAGTGTAACCATAGAATTGAGTCTCGAGAATCTTGTTGACATGACAGCATCAGCATCAGCATCAGCATCAGCATCAGCATCAGCTGCAGTTAACACCTTAACTAACACTAGCTGATGTCTGTCCTCAGGTACACTGGAGAACCTGGAGGAACTGTACCTCAACGACAACCCCAACCTGCACAGCCTCCCGTTCGAGCTGGCCCTCTGCAGCAAGCTGTCTATCATGAGCATCGAGAACTGTCCCCTCAGCCACCTGCCACCCCAGATTGTTGCGGGAGGCCCCTCCTTCATCATCCAGTTCCTCAAGATGCAGGGTCCATACCGTGCCATGGTCTGAGCCAAGAGCAGCTCAATCCCAGTCCTACTTGACTCCAAACCCTCCACTTGCTCTGCACCCTCTCGCCTGCCGGCCCCCATTACGTGTACCATGCACTGTAAAGAAAACAGACTCGCCACAATCAGTGTCAGGGGCAAAAGAAAGGAGGAGGAAGAAAAGGAAAACTTTTCTTTCACCTTCCTTGGGCAGAAACGAGGTGAATTTTGGAGACTTGACTTCTGTGTTACTCCAGAGTTTATCACGGTCATTTTAGGACCCCAGCCACCCCCCTGCTCATCTTTCATTCCGAATCATACAAGAGGAAAATATTTCCATCTCTTTGCCAAAACTGAAGATATATAAAGTTATATATATTGAGTAACTGTGAGCTAAGTGGCAAGTCTTTTAACCATATAAACCATGCTCCCATTGCCAATGTATTTACAGTAATTACAAGCATCTATTATGTGAGCAAGGATACAATTGTATGCAAAAACAAACAAAAAAAGTCTTTTGAACTTCACATTTACTGCTGCTGCCGTAATTTTAACTGTCATCTTTTCTTTATTCCCTTTTTTTTTTTATCATCTTCCTTGAGATAACTTATGATAATTGCTTCTTGACCATAGAGAACAAAGGTCTAATGATGGTGTGTTTATAATTTTTTTTTTTTTTAATTTTTAAAAATTTTTTTTTTTTTTTTTTTTTCCTTTTTTTTTTTTTTTTTTTTTTTTTTTTTTTTTAAACTGTGCCTATGTTTAGAGTGATCCAGTGGTTCATTTCTAAACACAATTGTCCATGATAATACAAAGATATAAATTATTTCAATTATTCTTTTTTATTACTGCTGTTTTTTTTTTTGTTTTTTTGTTGTTTTACTTTTGCTCTTGCATTAATCTGTTAAAGCAGGCGATATCAGTTGTAAAATAGGGTGATTGGAGATCTTTTTAACAAATAGCAGCAGTAGTTGTTCAACATTAAGCTAGTAATGTATACATATGAGAAATGCCAATCATACATGCTTGGCGACAAAAAATGAAGCAAGTTGGACTTGAATGGGTGTCGCTCCGACCCCCGTCTATATTGCTTTTGTGTGACAAAAAGGTATTGAAAAAAGTCAAACATGGTGATGGGATAAATGATAGGAGATGCTTTTATATATGTAAACAAATCCTGGTTGTTGCCTTGAGTGCAATTTTTAGTTATGTTTACTTGTTTGATATTACCTTCAGTGTTGGGCTGCATAGCTGTCATCCAGTTGATCATTGACCAACATATCAAGCGTTTTTAAAAAGACGTTATTTGGGTCTCTGGAGCAAGTGGTGAGTGTATCAGAGCTTCAAACAAGGTTTCATAATAAAACATTGACAGGTAAATTCTTCTTGACACTTCTTTTTTTGTTACTACCTTTAATTTTTCTGCAGTCTTTTTTTGTTTGTTTTTTAACAGGGCCTACCAAGAATCTTAATCACATGATGGAAAATGTTCCCTTGATTTAGATAATTTTTTTAATATCTCCTTTTGTCCCACACTGTCCTTGCAATGCTGCTGCTCTTATGCACTTTTTTAAAAGACATTGGCATCCTCTATATTAAGACAAAAACACAGTAGCCTCTCATTGGTTATTTTGAATGGGGGCATTTTTGTTTCATAAATAAGTATTTTATCCGTTCAACAGTTTATCAATTAAATATAAATGTTGAGTTTCACGGGGCTCAGAATATACTAGTAATTTTCTTTGGGGAGGTTTTATCCTGTCAAACTGTAAAAGGGTTTGTGTGGCTATGATATGGTTTAAAATTCCCATATCCTGCTTTTTCCATCGCAAGTAAAATGGCTTATTGCAGTTCAGATCAGCATTGTTTATTTGAAATCTATTTACATTGAGTGGTTTTTTTTTGGGGGGTTTTTTTCCTAAATGATGAAATGTATATTCAGTTAGTATTATTTCAAGTGACTGTACATTAAAAGTCCCAACAAAAGGTAATCAAACCAAACATTTTTTTTTCATTTTTTAAAATGTGTTGCATCCCAACTCTATATTCAATCATGATTCTGTTTTGTATTGAAATGTGTGGGTCTACTATTTCTTTGCAGCAGCTTGGTGTGTTTTGTGTGGGCTGTGATCCGGTCTCCTCCACAGGAGGCCTGAGTGATGAGAGCACCACAGCTCACCTCTGCGTGGGGTCGGGTATGGGGGGAAACAATGTACCGCTGCTTCTAATTTACCAGCAGAACCTGTTGCTGCTTTTCGTGGACTGAAACATATGCTGTACAAGACGGGAGGGGAGGAGCTGGGGAGGGCAGGAGGTGGGAAACGATCCACTCCCAACACTGATACAGACTTCACTCGAAAAACCTGACGAGGGACAAATCCACTGACCTTTTCGATTTGGCCCGGTGGTTTTCTCACAGATCAAATCGTTTGGACACAACGATGAGACAACACAACAAGGTGCATATTTGAGCTTAACGCAGTTACAGTACAAGACTGTCAGAAAAAGACAAAAAAAAATTGTAAAAAGGGCTTTCTGTGTTCATGCTCAACAACACACCGGAGGCATTGCATTCCTGGGTTTTATATAAAAGCTTTGGAAGTTTCTTTTTTTGTGTATTTTATTTACTTTTAGCTGTAAACAATTGTGTGAAAAATGCCTTCAATGAGTACTCAAGGGTGAGATGTGCATTAGGTATGCAGCAAGAGTGCTGTGACCCATTTTTACATTCAGTCTCTCTGTTTTTACTTTGTTCTTGTGCCATTCTGCAAGGTTGAGAATGCCAGTGTATGAAGACGCAGAGGAGGATGGGGGGGTGGGGGGCAGAAACTGAACTGGGCTAATTGACCAGAGAGCATTTATCAGATCCTGGAATGTAGTTTTGATGTGCTGTGGAGGAGATGGAGATCACCGACTGGCCCGTTCAGTTAAAGGTGTGACCTGTTGTTGGATCAAAGTGATGACGATGTATTACATAGTGGTGCATCCAAAATAATCGGAGTATAATTGGTGTTTATTTTTCTATTGTCTGTGATTTTAGGCCATGGAGAGCATCGCAGAATCAAAGTCATTTTGCACCTTTTGCTTTTCTTTTTTCTTTTTTTTTTTTTTTCCTCCTGGATCATTCAGCTTGTCTTTTTCTTGCCTGGTTATTTTGTACAGGAAACAAGCATGTTGAACACATATTTGACATGATTTGGCTGGGTCAGAATCGGGCGTTTTTGCATAGAGGACTTCGAAATAGTGGCTCTTTGGTGTATCTGCAAATGCTCCCTTTTTGTATATTGCAAAGGGTATCGAAGCATTGTGTGGCAATGCTTATCCTACTTAATCTACATTGACAAGCAGCCTTAATGGTCTTTTTTTATGTGTTTGTTTGGCTATTCCTTGTGTCTATGGCCACTGACTGTACTTGATGACAAGCAACTGGTCGTTACAATGTAAATTTGGGTCTAGTTTCTTTCTGTCTTATTTTTCCTTTTACTCTGTACAGTAATCTGATGTTACGGTAGACTCAGTATTACAAAATCTGTAATGTGATGAGAGTTTTACAAAAAGACAAAGAGTGCAATGGAAGATAATGCCATTATGCTACCAAGTGGATGTGCATTAGCTTGCGTCTCACTTGTCTTTGGCATTAAAGGGGAATTCCACCAAAACTGACTTGCATTGTTATTCTGCAACGGCAGATCCTTTTTTTCCAACTTTTTCAACCTTTTTTTTCTCTTTTTCATAAATTTTTCTTCACAAGTCATATCAGATTTGAGTCATGAGATTGTAAGATCGGGGGAAATAAAATTATGTGACATCAACTTTGATAGTCTGAGATCGTTGATAACTGAAGACATACTTTTTTTTCTTACCACATCTATATATAAAAAATGCAGTTTTGGAAAGGAAGGAAAAATACTTTGTCTTGAGAAAAGACACAAACACAACTTAAAGTTTTTTTGTTTTTTTTATAGTTAGCTTGATGTTGTCGGATCACTTGTTCCGTCATCTTGAGCGCACATAACCACATAAATACCCACTTTTTTCTGATTAAACCAATCCAGCTTTGGTGGAATGGCCCTTTAATGTGAAGCTGCCTGCTCTCTCCCACTGCGTACCTACCTGAAACCCTGAATCCCACCCACAAGAACTCCCACACACACCCCACTATACTATCTCCATACATTTACTTGACTGCCTTATGCGCACCAAGCAGAACCTTTATGACCGTTTGATTTCATCAACAGAGACAGATAATCACTTTTCTTTATTTCTTCCATTAACGTCAGTAAAGGGATCTGGGTCCACGGATTGTTGAAGCAAAGCTTTCGGGTCAGTTGTCTCTTGACTGGATGAGCAGATGCAGACATGACTACCTCTATGTGAGTCTCCATTGCTAACCACAGTGACCAAGATCCAGTCTGAGGTGTTTCTACCTGTGTACATACTGTACAAAGCTGCAGGTTGACAGCAGGAACTTGGATTTGGACCAGCAATTCAACAACAATTTGTTTTTATTTTGGTTAGATGCCTTTACTGAGTATTATTTGGCAAATGAAAAAGAGGAAAAAATACACTGACTTATGTGCTTGGTTGTAAATGACAAACTTTATCAATGCCGCCCCATTGTAAGACAGTTATCCTGAATCCAACTAGTTGCAGAGTGCTACTTTGCAAATGAGTGAAAATGACCATGTTTGGTGATGTTCTGTATGTACATACATCTTTTTAACTGTAATAAACCGATAAATATTTACAAATTTATGATGTTGTTGTTGTAGTAATTATTCATTTTGATGATCATCGAAGCTTTTTGTCATAATTCACAGAGTAGTACTTTTGTTGTTCAAAATCAACAAATTTATGTGATGTTGGCATGCAAGCGGGGCAGCTGACCGACATCTCTTGGACAGGTGTTACCACTGACTTGTGTCTGAGCCGAACCTGTTCCTGGAAATATTGTTGTGAATCAGTGTTTTTCCTGCACAGTTACAAAAATATCATTCAGAGAACAAACTTGCAAACACTACTGAGAACCATATGCAGAAGTAAACACATGATTGCTCCTGTCCTGCCTGTTTGTATTTTCCATCCAACATTTTTCACATATAATTTACAGCTTTTGTCATTTAGATCAATGAGAAAATGAATATAAATATAAATAAAAAAAAACTTGTATTTGACAGTTAAGCTGTTTTGAAGGTGTAGTCTAAAATGTGTGTTGTTGCTCTTCTCTTCATCCCAACTTGATCACATTGTTGAAATAACAGCAAAACCTTTTCATAGTCAATCCTGCTCCATTTATTGATTTAAGTTTCCGTGGTTAGTTTCCTATCACTCACAATACAGAATGTGTAAAGAAAGATTGTTTAAAGGGCAGTACGCCACCGGTATACTTTAAATAAATGTGTTTATATTTATTTCTGTTGCTACTTTATTTCTCAGCAGTGGCCTGAGCTGTGTCTCTGCTCCAGTGCAGCACCGCCCCCTGCTGGTGAATTAAAGTAGTTAATAGTTCTCTAATATTCAGAGCCTCACCCGCCACGGAGCATGATGACTACTGTAACACTGCCACCTGAAAGTCAGTGATGTCACAGGCAAATGAACACAGTCCATCATCTTGTCTTGATTCACTGAACTGTTGAGTTGCGGACCGCCCCCCCCCCCCCCCCCCCTTTTTTTTTTTTTTTTTTTTTTTACAACGAACTTACCTGGAAAAACAACAAAAGTATGTTACTATGTTACAAGCCTGAGCGCACTGGCCTCCCCATCTTCTCTGACTTGTCATATCTCTCTGTAAGCAACGTTTTTATTATTATTGTTATTATTCATTTTCCCACGGACGCGTCCGCCTGAAGCTGGGAGGCTCTTGCAGGAGACGACAGGTGTCACTGTATCCTTGCGCTTTGTCTGCGCCCTCATGCATCAACAGGCGCCAAGACAAGAAGATGTTTACCCAAAAACAGCCAGCCAGTGCAGCGGACATACGGCTGCTGTTATTTTACCAGCCTGGACAGACAGGATTATCACGCTGAAATGAGGCGCGCGCATGTGTGTGTGTGTGTGTGTGTGTGTGTGGAGAGTGAGAGAGAGACAGATAGAGAGAACGCTGTCTCACAGGTGGGCGCTTTAAATATTCATCTCCAGGTAAAAGCCTTTCACACACAGCTTTCAGATACTTTGTGGTTCCTGAACTCAGCTGGTAGATGGATATCAAATAATCCACCAGGTTTTATGTTATGCAAAGTGAAAATGTATGTCAGTAACACTCAGGTTTTGAAAATCCTCCTCAGGGTCAGGTGACACGCCTCCGTTTCCTGCAGGAACAGGTGTGTGTGTGATCCTCCACAAACTTCAATTATTTCGTTTTGAAGTGTAAAACGAACTAAAAGCTTAGAGGTAATGCTGTTTTTCAGATAATAAGTTTCCTGGAAAGAGAAGTTACAGGAAAAAAAATTCCTTGAAAGAAAAGCTCCATTTAAGCCCAAGTAAATTCATCTATTGGAATTTGTCCTATGTGTGTTGAGCTGTATGTTTAATTGTAGACAAATTTCATGTTTATGCATATTTAACTAACCTCTACTGACTAAAAAATGTATTGGAATTAATTAAGTGGAAGAGATTGCATCTAACATCTAAAAGTGATTTTTAAATGGTCTTTTTTTCAAATCATTCACATCATAATTTCAAAAGAAACTTCTGCATACTCACAGCAGAAATTGAATAAATGTAATATTAAAGGAATATTCAGTTCATAATCAAGGCCAGACAGAAAAAGGCACAACTTAGATTAAATACTACTTTGAAAAAACAAGTTGTAAAATTGTACCACTGATCCTCTGAGGACTTATCTTTTCTCTTTTGAGTTTGTTCCCGACCTATATTTTTAATATTTTTATTTCATAGACAGCAGTATAAACACCGGCAGTAAACACCATCAAGTCATTGTCGAATTTGTGTGTGAGTAGCAGAAACTACATTAAAACAGAAGTAGTGGGCACCATGCTGAGTCTTGTACTGAATGTGACCACGGTGATGACGAGGAGTGTACGCTGTGTCCTCCCCAGTTTCTCAAGAATGTCCCCTTCTAGTTGAACCTCCCTGAGTGAGTTTTAATTTTACCACAGAAGAGAAACACAAACAGTCGATTGAACTGTGTAAGTGAGAGTCACAGCCTTTGTGGTGAGAAGGAGCTCCAGTTCCAGGAAATTTGGAAAATTACAAATCCCCTGATGGTTGAAATCTAAAGAAATGTCGTTTCCTTTTTGTCTATTTGCTGGAAACAACCATCAGTGTTATCCATCTACAAAAGAAGAATTAGAATTAGAGTTGGATTGTGATTTCAAAGTGATATTGGCTACAAGCAAAACCATTTAACTTGATCACAGGTAAGCTACAGAAAACTTTCCTATAAATGATGAAACTGAATCTTTTTGTACATTTTTTGTAACACCTAGCAGTAATATTTAACTCAATACGTATTTATTTAGTGAGTTTTAAATCACATTCAGTTTTATAGTGACTTGTAAAAGTGTAAATCTCCTGCCGCTTACTGCTGGTCAGTCAAATTGAAAACTCAGTCCAGTTTTCAGCTAATAAACAAGACAGTTGAACTGTTAAACCTCGACTATCACCTGCCGCATCTTAATTATGTGGGGAAATTAAACAAGATGGAGCTATTCGTGGACATGATGTACACATCACATGACAGCTAAATATGATCTAGTTAAACAGCACTGGGCAGATCAGTGTTGACTCCACTGATTTCACTAAATACACATCATGCTGTGCATGTGAAACTGTTTACACACAGAGGAGGCCGGTGTAGCTTTAGAAATGTAGCCCTACGTACAGTTATATACTTCATGTGATGAACAGTAAAGAAATGTTACAGCTCCCCACCAGATAGTCTAAAAGCGGGTTGGACCTACAGGCCAACAACAATCATTCAAAATACACACTGTGGGAAGCTTCCAGACTCCCCAACAAGAGATTACATTTTTTTAGATGTAGACCTCAGCACAGTGAGGGTGAAATATAACCTGCGCCTGCTTGTATCGCTGCTACCAAGTCACACCTGTAAACACCACAGCACCCTCTCAGATGTTTCCTTTGGGCAAACCTCCCTCACATACAGGTCTGCGAATCAGTCTGAGGTCTGCTCCAGACCATGTCTGGGGACTCCCACCTGTGTTACACATGAAGTGTAAAAGGTGGATAGATAAATTAAGTTTGGACAAAGTAATAAAAAGCCTCTGCTGATATCCAGGTGGTGTGGCTCTGGTTGCTGCTTAGCAACGGAGTCCAGCAGCTGCACTGCAAAAAATGTCTGTCCCAACAGTAGTTTGATCTTTAAATAGTAAAGTCAAGGAAAAAGACAAAAGCCAACTTGTGCCCCCCCCCCCCCCAAGTAATTTTCTCATCTTAATAAAATAGATACTGACAGTTCACCTCATTGTCAGAAAATGAAAACTGATTCCAGTTTTCCAGTTCTGAGCTGAGGAAGTTAAAGTTGAAATATAAAAAACATTTTTTAATGCTCTCCAGCTTACCTATTTTCAAATAGACTGACTAACTTTAAATAAGGCTTAAGCTGATGACACTGAACAGTGCGCAGCAACTGACTGATGAATGGTCACATATACTGTAACTGGACAAAAAATTCAGACATACTTTATTTTTTTCACTTAGAAACTAACTTCCTGATGATGTTTGAAAAAAACCTATTGTAAAATAAAAGCTCTGCTGTTCTCATTTGACTTTGATGATGAATTTCTCTGTTGAACTTTTATTCCCCTAATTAGTTTCAGACTACTTATTACTACACTGGAACTGTATTTGTCTTTTCCAGTCCTTAACCGATTTTATTTTCCTGTGTTCTTAAATGTTGCTCTACCGCATTTCTTCACCTTATGTAAACTTGCCTCTGTGTTTGAAAGGTGCTATGCAAATATACTTACCTTGATCATGTAAATAGCTCTCGGTGATTCTCTCGGTGTTCACTTCTTCTATAGACATAATGGCAGAAGCACCTACAATATGACAGAAAAAACTAAAGCAAAACACCGACAACACCAACTATAACCTCAGAAAGGACCACTTTACTGAACACTAACACTGTCAACATGATGTAATTGATGCAATTAATTTTTTTCATCAAAATGTTTTATCATCATAATTATATATGTATTGTTTTTTATTATATATGTATATTTATTTATTATTATTATGTAGCCTATGATGTACGTATGTATGTAAACGTGTGTATACATGTTGATTTATACGCGTATAGTTAATATAACAAGCAACTTACATCACATTGTTTTACTGTAGCTGTGTGTGTAGCTGTTATTTTGTTCAGGAGCTGTACCTCTATGTCTTGTATGTCTTGTATGTCCACGTGTGCATGGACACATTTACATGGCTTCGTTTTTTCATTCTTGTCCTGCTTTTAATCCCCGTCACTGTTCTACTTCCAGCTGATGTTATTGCCTTCAGTGTCCCATGTTATCAGACCCACATGTCTGTCGGTGTTGACACTCGGTGGACGCACAGTGACCCGGTGAGCGGGACACTTTTTGCAGCGTGCGGGCTATAAAGAGAGGGAGTGGCGCACTGGTTAACACTGAGGAGAGAGACTCCACACGCAGACAGCAGCACGGCAGCGCCCGGGATAACATGATTAGCTCTCTATTAGGTCCGCTCCTGAGCACAACTAGATGCAGTACAGGGATCATAGTGTGTCCAGAGAGAGGAGACACAGAGGAAAGAGTTGACGCCTCAGCTGCCACATGGATCTTCTCTGCTTCCTATTGATCTGCCTAAAGAAGTTACCCACTGACAGTTTTTTTCATGCCCGTGCGTCTCTGGCACTGGAGAGGTTGTGTCACCGCTGGTTGCCCCAGGTAAGATTATTTCACACTTCAAATGCCTTCTTTTCTTAGTGTTTTTAAGGGAGAGAGCTGATATAATGCTTGAGCTCATTATAATAGTCATAACATAAAAGACACGTTATAAGTGTCAATGTAAAGTGTAAGTATGTAGCACCGACAGATCTAATTTCTCCTCTTGTTTCCTCATATTTTCAGATGAACTGACAGCACTTTAAATAATTAGTGCTTACTCTTGTGGAGGCAGTGCACGATGAAAGAGAGAAATCCGGCTGGGAAAGCTTCAGAGGAGTGATTCAGTTCCTGCCTTTCTCAGCCCTGCTCTGTCCTTCCTGGTGGATGATATTTGTTAACCTCTTCTGAACCCAGGAAGTGGGCCAATCTGCTCCAATGGAGTTTAACAACGAGACCAACCTGACTCTTCCAAAGGTGGCCTCTTACAGCCTCCAGATGTCCCTGCCGCTCACTGTGCTGGTGGGGCTCATGATCCTGCTGACAGTGTTTGGTAACGTGCTGGTGGTCATAGCTGTGTTTACAAGCCGAGCCCTGAGGGCTCCGCAGAACTTATTCTTGGTGTCTCTGGCATCAGCGGACATTTTGGTGGCTACCCTCGTGATGCCATTCTCCTTGGCCAATGAGCTCATGGGATACTGGTACTTTGGCGAGGTGTGGTGTGAAATATATCTGGCACTTGATGTTCTTTTCTGCACCGCCTCCATTGCCCACCTCTGTGCCATCAGCTTAGACCGCTACTGGTCCATCACGCAGGCCATCGAGTACAACCTAAAGAGGACGCCGCGCCGAATTAAGTGCATCATCTTCATCGTGTGGGTCATTGCAGCAGTTATCTCTTTCCCGCCACTAATCACCATGGAGAAAGAAAACAACGAGAAGGACCGCGTGTGTAGGATCAATACTGATAAGTGGTACGTCATCTCCTCCTGCATTGGCTCCTTCTTCCTCCCCTGTGTCATCATGGTGCTGGTCTACGTGCGAATCTACCAGATTGCTAAAAAGAGGACACGGGCCCCTCCAGGAGACAGGAAGCAGAAGGAGATGCCAAAGACGCCCACCATCGCTGCTGCCAACCCAAAGGAGAACGGCGTGGGTGCCGATGACCGCCTCTGCCATGAGAAACTGAATGGCGAGCAGGACATCGAGCTGAAGAAGGAAGTGGTGGAAGGAGAAGGAGGAGCAGATGAGGAGAAAGGAGAGGTCAACGGGGTGGACATTGATGAGTCGTCGTCGTCTGACCACAAAGTGAACAATCCCTGCTCAATCAAAAAGAAATCGGCCAAGGGGAAAACCAAACTGAGCCAAATCAAACCGGGGGACAATGACGTCCAAAGGCGGGCGCCGAGCACCAAAGGCAGCCGCTGGAAGGGCCGCCAGAACCGGGAAAAGCGATTCACCTTCGTCCTTGCCGTGGTCATTGGAGTGTTTGTCATCTGTTGGTTTCCCTTTTTCTTCACGTACATGCTAATGACGTTGTGTGAGTCCTGCCCTGTACCCGACACCTTGTTCAAGTTCTTCTTCTGGTTCGGTTATTGCAACAGTGCGCTGAACCCCATCATTTACACCATCTTCAACAATGACTTTAGGAGGTCATTTAAAAAGATACTGTGCAGGAGGGACACCAGAAGATATGTATGACAGACTCCATCTTCATGTACATACTTTTTTTTTCTACTGTTGTACATAAATTGTAAAGTACATAGACCATTGTGCATGGATCACTGGCTTGTGAATGCTCTAGGTGTAACTGCTTGAAAAGGCTTTCCCAGGATGAGCTTTACGTGCGGCATCTTCTTTTCAGAACATCCACCACCCACAGCCTCGACACCGACCACGATCACACACAGAGAGGTCTGAACTGAACAGAACACCACAGTGAAACCATGTTTTTATTGTAAATGTTATTTTTATTTTTATAAAAGAAACAAACATTGTGAAGTCCATGATATGTGTTGTAATTTACCACAGTATGCTATATAAAATAACCTGTCTGAATATTTGTCTCTATTTTGATTTTGGTGGTGATGATGATGATGATGATGATGATGATGATGACAAAGTGTGGGAAAAATGTCAGCTCTTTAAAGAATAAAACCCATTACCTGAACTGGTCTCAAGGCTCCAAAGCAAGCTAAAGCATCAGGTTGGTGACTTTATCTCATTTTGTATGTTACACTGTGCTGTGACACACATATCCACACACTCATGCACACACACACACACACACAAACAATAGAAGCTAGGAAACAGAGAAAAGGGTAGCAATAGAGTCAGCTATAGGTAACATTTGAGTCTAAATTTGCTCTCAGTAAAAGGTGTTAAGTGAGAGTTTTGAAAATGAAAAGCTGTTTTGATCCATGTGAAGGTGTGAAAAGGTGGATGAGGAGGATAAACCCACAAGTCCTCTTGTACCGTGAATTGGAGAACAGAGTTTAGCCCTTCAGCTGTACTCCAACAGAAAAGTGCAAATTCTCCGGTCTGTTGAATCTGACCTTTGCAAGAGCTTAGCTCTTAATGAGCCTGAATGGAATATGTGCAAATGTTCTTTGGTCCTTGGTTTAATCATGTTTGTGATTAGATATAGGTCCTTTATCTGAGATGTCAGAAAATTAAATTACATTTTTAATCTTTTTTTTCTCTCTAGTGTGTTTGCTTAGGCTTCAGATTTCAGAGTCAGTTCATGAATCAACTGTGAATGATGAATACAGTTGTAATGCAAGGCACAGGAAGAGGAGAAGTAACGGTTCATTTGCCGTTTTGTGTTACCACGGTATGCATCATTAAGTAAAGACATGGAGCCCGTCAAACCAGAACCTGATTGACTGGTCTCTCTCCCTCTCTTTACTCTGCCCTCTCTATCGGCTCAAGGAGAACGAGTGAATAAAACAAAGGAGCGACTATCATCTGTGCAGTGAATACAGAGACTATATCTTTTCCCTGTGGAGGTAGTGTAAGCAGATGCATTCCTTTTGACAGTCAGGAAGACAGCTGAGCGGCACTATCCTCAGAAAGCTAAGCGGTTCTTCTGGGAGTTTCTCTATCAGTATTTCCACCACCTCGTACAGCAGAGCCTGGTGTGTGTGCTCGTACTCAGCTGTTTCCCTGCACGTTTACAAAGTGTGTAAGTGTGGTGAGCCTGTGAGAAAGAGCGAGTGTATACGTGTGAGAATGTGCATGTGTATTTGCAGCACATGTAAACACATGGGGTGAGCTCCCACTGGACAGACAAGTTTGCTGAAGTGGCTCCGACACTCCATGTTCAATTTGAATTGGAGGAGAAATTTTGTGGGAGACTGTGGGATGATGTCAACAACAACAAGGCGGAAAAAAAAACACGATTACTAAACAGAAAAGTCAAACATCGGGATCCAGCTTGAAAATAGATGAAGGTGTCCGACAGTCGTAACACATTCACATTAAAGAGATGCCATCTCGGAAAACTTAACAAAGGTGAAGTTATTTAGAAGTAAAGACCTTTAAATGTATTCCTACCCACACTGCTTCCATTTATTTTCAAATCAAAGGATAGGTTCACATTTTTAAACTCTTTCACAATACAACACTCACATTTTACATAACATTGGAAGAGTTATCGGTTGGTGTAATCACTCCCTCTCTCCTTATTTGTCGTGAAAAAATTTCTTCCTAGTGCAACTCATGATGGGGGACAAAACAGATAGTCCTCATTCTGAGCAAAAATACTTTCTTAAAGTGACAGTGTGTAACTTGTGGAACAAATAATTACACATCCCTCCTCTAACAAGAGAAAAGTAGAATTCATAAGCAACAAAACATGAGCTTCTTCTGTTGGATACACTCAGGCTTTTCTGACACGGCCTGATGTGGTCTGGTATGACCAGTAGTTTATGGTGGCTAGTATTAGCAAACTTTGGATGAATACAGTGTTGTTGTGTAACTCATATTACTGCGTCACTTTGATGAGTATGACTCTTCACTACTTACGTCTTACTCTGCATTTTAGCAATGTTTCCTTGCTGAGCTGTGGCAGAAGGATAGTAGACTAGTGCAAAATGAGAAATTCACACTAAAAACAGAAAAAAATTACAATAGTCAATCAGTTCATTAGGTTGATTAAATGTTGAAGCCTCATTTTAGATTCGACTGAGTTCATCTTTGAGCAGAATGCGTACTGTGGATTTATACTCCCATCTCTCACACCTTCGATGTACGTATTAGCATGCGAGTTTTGTTCTAAGACACCCTTGAAAAAAATGTGAACTGGTCCTTGACAGTGACAGGGTTTTTCAATGGACACTGACTGATAAATATGTGTATGTTTGTCTCCTCTTGCCCTCCTCTCCCTCTCCGACTGCCTTTCTGTACCTCGCACATCAACAAGCAGCAGTGATATCATTAGGCGGATGTGCTTGCTGACAGCCTATTGGAAGAAGCCAGCTGTTGAAGTCAGCAGACCCCTCACACACACACACACACACACGCGCACACACACACACACACACACGCGCACACACACACACACACACACGCGCACACACACACACACACACACGCGCACACACACACACACACACACACACACACACTTAGCCTCTGGGAATTGGGGCATGGATCATCAGGTTAGAGTGCATATCCGTCTCCAAAATGCTAAGCATGGTGGCTAAGTGCAGCTACCATTCAAAAAGACAGAGACAAAATGTCAGCAACCACAAAAATCATACAAGACAAACAATCATTTGCAGTTGGATGATGCAGGCGTGGGGTGTGAGGGTGAAGTTGGATTTGACTTGATTGCCTCACTTTTGAGATGACAGTCTTTGTTTGTTAATGTGAATCTGTGTGTTTGACTGTGATTGTGTGTGTGTGTATGTGTGTGTGTGAGGGGGGTGGGGGGTATTTTTTAAATGTGGGTGTGGGAGGATGGGCGTGTCTGCTTTGTGTATGTGTACTGTAGGTGGCCGAGGTGAAAAGGTAACGATGATGATGAATGTTGACTGAGGCACCCACGTATTACAACCTGTACATCTTTTTTTTTATTATTATTTTTCAGAATGACATCCGCCTATTTGAGGTGGCTGCAGTAATTACTCCCCGTGTTATGACTCACTGTTGTTTTCTCCTACTTTTATTTGCCTGTCTTCAATGTAGCACTTTCACAGGATGTTTGTATTTGTCATCTAAAATGTACTTTACATCATCCAAAAACATGTTATTGAAGTAGCATCATATTTTCTAACAGTCAGCTTGTAGTTGGCTGCCTCCTCTTTGATGGAGGACTCTTAAAAGTGTTTCAGAGATATCATTTGAAATGGAGTCCCAGTCTCATTAATGGTTGGCTGATTAGCTGTCAGGCCTCTGGGACTGATTTGAAACACAAAACAACGCTGGGCAGCTGATATTTCCCTGGAAAATAATTTGTCTAGACAAATCTATTTTCCAGGAGCTCATTATGATCGAGAGCAATCAGCTCCCATCGTCCTAGAGACCACACGGCATTATGCAACATGATTATTAGACCTGCGAGGTAATTCGTGCTGGCTGAGGAGAGAATTGGATGCAGGGTTTGACGTTCCAGTGCCCTGCATAAAGAAAACATTCAGGAGTTGGAACAGCAGGGGCATGATATCCGAAATAACCCACTTTGTACCTGAAATATGTCTTTTTGCAAACTGGATTAAGAATTTACAATTGAGGCAAGAAAAACTAGAAGCAGTGCTTGGTTTCAGAACTTCCACAATTTGAAAGTAATAGTGATGCACATGGTGCAAGTGTAAGTGTTTGAGCAGCTTTTCATGAAAATCATAAAAAAGGATTTCTGTCTGTTTTCATGCTGCTCAAGCTCAGTCTTAGTGACAGTACTAAGCAGCACTTTGATTCATTGATTCATCAGTTGGTCTGTAAAATGTAATAAAACAGTGACAATGATCAACACTTGTCAAAGCTTTTCAGTTTATGTGATTTTTGACTTTTTTTTAAATCACTAACGACTCTAATGTTGGACAGATGTTCAATTTTGTCTGGAGATAAAAATTGTGTTGACATCAAAATCCAACATTGGCTAATTGACGTTTTGACATTGAGCTGATGTTGGATTTTGCTCATGTCAAGATGTTGGCATGAGAAATTTGGAAGATGCTTGATTTCGGTTACATAACAACACAACTTTAAACCAACAAAATATCAAGGACAGCTGCCGTCGATTTTCGATTTTCGTCGAATTGACATTGACATTAGACGTCGTCCTGACTTTGAATTTTGGTCACCTGACGTCACAACCTAAATCAAATCATATCAACAGAATAAAGCAGTGGTTCTCAAAGTGGGGTCCGGGGACCCACAGGGGTACTTCCTGGGGGCCCCAGCAAAAAAGGGCAATAACATTGACAGTGTATGACTGTTTTGGTCATGGGTTTCAAACATTTTAATAAAACATCCAAAGTAAAAATCTCATCAGATGGGGGTCCGTCGTCTAATGTACATCAGTTTAGGGGTCCTTGATATGAAAAAGTTTGAAAACCACCAGAACAAACAACCTAATCTAAACAGTCATTAACTCATTATCTGTTGACTAACTGGCCATTTCCATTGATTAACTTAACTTGATTAACTTATTAACTAACGTCCCAGTGGTGTTATGGCACAAGAGCGGTTAAAAGAGTATTATGAGAGAGTGTTTAACAGAGTTTTTAATAGAGGTGGAAGATTAAAAAAACAACCAACACACTTCCAGCCCCTAGCACAATGTGTGGCTCTGTAATTATTGCAGATAAAAGCAACAAAGAGTTGAGCGCTTTCTCTCTCCATTATTCAGTCTCTTTGTGCTGGAACTCCCTGTCTCTCCACAAGTGACAGACAGCAAAGAAGAATATCTGTTCGGTGACACGAGAACAGCAAAGTGAGTGTGAGGCAGAGAGGGCAGCTGAAGTGGGTTGCTGTAGTGTCTGTAATAACTGTCTAGTGTGTACTGATGGACAGGCCGGTGGGCGTTTGGAGGAGATTATACCTGAGCACTCCACTGTTTCATCGCTGCGGACCTTAATGACGATGACTTCATGAAACCAGCTTGTT